GCCCAAGAGCCCTCCAAGACGTCCTCCAAGAAGGCCCGAAAGGGTCAAAATGGCCTCCAGGCGGCCAAGATGCCCTTCAAGATGCCCACGTGTTCCCCGAAGGCTTTCCAAACCGATTCGGGGAACACATGGTTCGATAGCTTGGCAGGTCTGGCCTCAACGTTCGGCCACATCGGCGCTTCTGAAAGGGCAGGGGGGCGGCGGTGATTCGCCGCAGGCGTCTTCGATCCGCCGGCCCCCTGTTGATTTATCAAAGAAATGACTGACATGCCGAATGATTGACATTTTAATCATTTTTAAGGGTCCACGGGCCTCTGGCTCAGCCCGCTGACAACCGGGAGAGTCCCAACACTAAGTATTTCATTGCCCAGATTGCCTTCCAGACGGGCAAGATGGCTCAAGATGGACTCCAAGATGCCTCCAAGATGGCCGACATGGCCCAAGATGGCCTCCAAGACGGTCCCAAGATGTCCTCCAAGACGGCCCAAGATATCCAAGGCGCCCAAAGAAGGAACCACGACTGCCCAGAGAGGGCCCCGAGACGGCTTCAAGAGGCCTTTTCTTCTTCTTCCTCCTCCTCTTCCTCCTTGTCCTCCCTCTCCTCCTCCTTTCTTTTACTCTCCTCAGTGTTCCCCCAAGGGGTTCCACGACGGCTGGGGGAACACATGGGCCAACAGCTTGGCCAGATTTCGTCGATTTGCCGCTTTCCAAGGGGCAAGGGGCGGCGGTGATCAGCCGTAAGCGTCTTCGATCCGCCGCCCCCTGTTGATTCCCTGAGATCCGACGTTGCGAAAAATTCCAACATCGCGCAAAATCATGCCCGGAGCCCCAGACCCCATCCTTCTGCGCCACTTTTCGAGCCAGATCGATCTGTGAGGGTCCCAGGGCCCGCGCCTGGGCGAAAGCGCCGGTTGTAAAAAAAATGCAACGCCACGATCTCAGGACTTATCAGTGTTACAATGAAAATTCAACCTAGCGTGCTGGATGTTTAAATGCTTCTCTGTTAAGGGTTCCCAACGGCCTTGGGTGCCCAGCCCTCTGGTCACCACCCAGAGAACCTCAGGGCGACCCGGGGGGCACGGCCCAGCTCGCCTCCTGGATGGGCAAGATGGCCTCCAAGAGGGCCTCCGAGACGGCCAACATGGCCCCCAAGATGGCCTCCAAGACGGCCCCAAGATGGCCGCAAGACGGCCCAAGAGATCCTCCAGATGGCCCACGAGTCCCCCAAGACGCCCCGAGAGGGCTCCAAGAGAACCTCCAGGAGGCCAAAACCATTTACTTCCCTTCGGTTTTTCAATGGTTTCAACGTTCAGGACCTGCGAGGCCTCCAAGAGGCCCGCAAGACCGCCAAGCAAAGCGTCAAAACGATGGAGAGAACCCCCCCCCCACTGGGGACCTGGAGTAACTGTGCATATTATCCGGGAAGGAGGGTTGGGGGCGGCGAGGAAGGACCGAGATGGTGGCCTCTGCCTCCTCCTCCTCCTCCTCCTCCTCCTCCTCCTCCTCCTCTAATCGTCACCCTCACCCTCACCCTCACCCTCACCATCACCATCACCATCACAGTCACCATCACCGTCACCATCACCGTCACCATCACCACCATCACCACCGTCACCACCATCACCACCATCACCACCATCACCACCATCATCACCATCACCAGCATCATCATCATCACCATCATCATCATCATCATCATCATCATCATCATTATCAGCATCATCATTATCTCCATCTCCATCTCCATCTCCATCACCACCACCATCACCACCATCGTCATACTAATAATGACCATCACCACCACCATCATCATCAGCATCATCATCATCACCACCATCACCATCACCATCACCATCACCAGCACCATCACCAACATCATCTTCATCAGCACCACCACTATCATCATCATCATCATCGTCGTCGTCGTCGTCATCATCATCATCATCATCATGATCATCATCACCATTACCATCACCATCATCACCATCATCTCCATCACCATCACCATCATCATCACCACCACCACTATCATCATCATCAACATCATCATCATCACCTTCACCATCATCAGCATCACCATCGTCATCATCCTCATCAGCGTCAGCATCATCACCATCACCATGATTACCATCATCATCATCATCATCATCATCATCATCATCATCATCATCGTCATCATCATCATCAGCATCATCATCATCATTCGTATTATCATCATCCTTTTTATTCCTTAATGGGTGGCTGGGGCGGGGAGCGGGGAGGACGTGGGGAAGTAGAAAAGGAAAGGAGCAGCTCGAGCGGAGCCGCGACAGAGAGAGTCCGGTCGCTCCCGCTCGACCGCAGCGCCATGCCGGGAGAGAGAGAGAGAGAGAGAGAGAGAGAGAGAAAAGCCCTCCGACAGGAAGGCCAGGGGCACATGCCTGAACTGATGCGGGTGTGTTGACGTCCCTCCCCGACCTGCCCTGACCGCCGCAGACCCCGTCGGAGGGCGTCAGCTATAAGGGTCGGACCTGGACAGAAGAACGTCCTTCAAGGACATGAGACCCTCCGCCAGCCAAAACACACGGAACATCCAAGGGTGCCCTCCACAGGATGCACAAGAACATCCAGCAAACACGAAGAAGACTAGGGTATCCTCCCCGAACCCGCCTCGATCTTATACCTGCACCGATATCGTGGCCAGGCCGGCCCCGGCAACCCAGGCTTGGTGCACGTGCCTCCCCTCGCCAAGCCGGGAGGGCGCGTGCACTGATCCTGGCCACGGCGTGGGCCCGGCCGGGAGCGGTGCAGGTGCACAGCCGTCGTGCTGCCACAACGGGCGCGCCGAACATGGAGCGGGAGGGGCTCTTCAGGCCACGGCGGGCCTCGGCCACGGCGGGCCTCGGCCTCGGCCCAAGCCCGAGGGAGGCGGTGTCCGAGCACGAGCTCAGGGCCGCCCTGGGGCTGGCCGGCGGAGCCGCAGCGGGGCGTCTGGTGGAGGTGCTCCTGTGCAGCGTCGTCGAGGCGAGCGGAGCACACCGCGCCAGGGAGTCGCTCCAGTGGCTCTTCGGCCACACCGGGGGGGCAGGCGCCCGAAAACCAGAGCCCCTGCTGAGCTCGAAGCGGTCCTTGCTCCAGCGTCTTGACTGCTCGGCCGGGGCGCCCTCCGGCCGCGGCCGTCTCCGCGCCCCCTCCCGGACAGTATCTGACGTGGCAGAGCACATCGTGCGGCCTCGCGAGAGATCCCTGGACTCCATCTCTCTTCGGCACTGCTCGAGCCGGATCGGCCTGTGAAGAGGAGGAGGGGAAGGGGGAGGGGGAGGAGGAGGGGGAGAGGGGAGGAGGAGGAGGAGGAGGAGGAGGAGGAGGAGGAGGGGAGGAGGAGGAGGGAGAGGAGGAGGAGGAGGAGGAGGAGGAGGAGAGGAGGAAGAGGAGGAGGAAGGAGGAGGAGGAGGAGGAGGAGGAGACCCACCCGCCGAGAGCGCCGTCCTCCGAGCACTCTACCTGAGTAAGCCTTGCAACTTGGGAGACCTACGGATGGAGGCCCTCAATCTGCCGATAAGGATCTGCTGAGCAACGACATCAGAGCTAGACAGGGAACCACGCAGGGCTTGGAAGGTGGAGTGAAGGGAATCTAAAGCGAAACAATATGAAGGCAGGGCGTCGGAGGAAGCCAGGGAAAATCGATGGGGGAGGAAAGAGCTCAGAGGATCATGTCCATAATCTTGAGGAAGAGCAGGAAGATGGTGACGAAGGGTAGGGAGAAGACTGTAGCAGGAAACATAATGCAATATATCATAGGAGGAGGAGGAGGAGGAGGAGGAGGAGGAGGAGGAAGAGGAGGAGGAGGAGGACGAGGAGGGTCACGGCATAAGGGAATCAAGTCCCGAGCAGAGCAACACGCACCACGACCACGACGACGCCGACGACAACGACGACGACGGAGACGAGGCGCGCAGACGATCCGCACCGAAGCACGGATTCGGGAAAGGGCCCACAGGTTCGGTTCAATAGCACTTCGTTGAGCGTTGCTGCAGCCTCCCCTGAGCACAGGAGAATGGAGGAGGAGGAGGAGAGCAGGAGGAGGAGGAGGAGGAGGAGGAGGAGGAGGAGGAGGAGGAGGAGGGGGAGGAGGAGGAGGAGGAGGAGGAGGAGGAGGAGGAGGAGGAGGAAGAACGCAACAGCCTTGATGTGCATGTCTGGCCACATGCGCCGTGCGGCGTGCAGGGGGGCCCACAGGAAGAGGGGGGCCCAAGAGAGCCCAGAGTCGAATCGACGAGTCGGATCGGCGATCGAAACGGATCGGATCGGCGGAGATCGGCAGCCGAGTCGGGAAAGTCGAATCGTCGGAAATCGGCGGGCTAGTAGGCCTGCGTTGAGAAATCGGATCCCAAATCGGAATCCAAAGTCGAATCGAATCGGAATCGGAAACCATCGAAATCGAATCGAATCGAATCGGAGGAATCGAAACGAGCCCTGGGGGCCCTGGCGCATCGCTTCGGCGGCGCGCACAAAAGGGGGTCGGGGGAGGGGGGGCGGCTTCCTGGAAGAAGGCTGCCTCTTAGCAAAGCGCCGGCCTTGCGTCTACCGACAAGGCCCGCGCCTTCCAAGAAGCAAGGATGCTTCTGAGAAGCCTTCCCCCCTCCCCCGACCCCCCTCTGCGCGTGGCCGCTCGTTGGCCCGAGGCATGTGCGTGGACGAGGCATGATTCAAGATCGATTTCGGTTCGGTGGTCCACTCAATGGCCGCTGGTATGCCCCAGGACGCGCTCAAGTGAGCACAGCGGGCGTCACCCTTGAAGAAAACACAACATCAGACGCGCAGAGGAACAGACTTGCCATCCGATCACTCGCTTTTCTGGCAGGATCGCTTTCCGAGGGGTGTGTGCAGGAGGCATGAGATCTGGAATATCTGAAAGAAGAACAGGAAGCCATGAGATCTGGAAGATCTGATGGCTTGGCCCTGGTATCCACCCCCCTTGGTCCTCAAACCTCTCGCTCGCCAACACTCCTCAACTGTGACGACGACGACCGGCTCGGACCGTGATGATCGCGGCTGTTCAGGCCACAAGCCGTGCTCGAGGTCGTCATGCAGCCATGCGGCGCCATGCTTTGAGTGGCTGCACCATGTGGCGCCCAATTGCATTCTACTGGATGTGGCACGTCGCTTTGCGTAGGCCACGACATCCGCCCACCAACCGGCCTTTGCCAGGAGTTTTTTGGGCGTTCCTTTGAAAGCAGTATCTGCTTACTCCATCTGGTGGCGCGGATCGGGCAAGGCTGGGAGGAGTGACCAGAGCAAACATATCAAAGTGAGGCAACAAAAACAAAAACCATCTCGAAGGCCTGGTTTTTTATTCCTTCTCACCCTTCCCCCGCCTCCCCTCATTATACAAGGTCCCCGGGGCGCTGGGGGATAATAATCTCCCATGGGGCGCCCGCTGGCAGGCAATCTTCTCTTACCGTGCTCCTACAGCACCGCCTACTGCGTCAGGCAGTGCTCTGGCTTCTGGACGCACAGGCCGTTGGGGCAGCAGGTGTTGCCCTCGCCGCAGCAGATCTGCGCCGTCGGCTTCCCGCAGCAGGTCGCGGTCGGAGCGCAGCAGATCGACCCGGTCGCGTTGAGGCTGCGCAGGTCATTCGGATTGCCGCACACGGTGGCATTCAGGTCGTAGCAGTAGATGAGGCCCCCAAGGTGGTACCCCTCGACCATGAGCCTGGCCGCGCGCCGCGGCCCGTCTTTTTCCTGTGCACCTGTCCCCCTGCTAGCCTGTCGTCTCCCTGCCTGCCTCTCCTCCTCCTCCTCCTCCTCCTCCTCCTCCTCCTCCTCCCTCCTCCTCCTCCTCCTCCTCCTCCTCCTCCTCCTCCCTCCTCCCTCCTCTCTCCTCCTCCTCTCCTCCTCTCTCCTCCTCCTCCTCCTCCCTCCTATTCCTCCTCACATTCCTCCTTCTCTTCCTCCCATTCCTCCTCCCATGCCTCTTCCTTCCTTCTCCTTTTGCCTTCCTCCTTTCACTCTTCCTCCTCCCTCTCCTCCTTCCTCCTTCTTTCTCCTCCTCTCCTCCGTCCTGCCTCCTCTCCCCTTCCCCTTTCCCCTCCCCCTCCTCCTTCCTCCCTCCTCCCTTCGCTCCTGCTCCTCCTCCTCCTTCTCCCTCTTTTCCTCCTCCTTCACCTCCTTCTCCTACTCCTCCTCCACCTCCTCCTCCTCCTCCTCGTCCTCCTCCTCCTCCCCCTCCTCCTCATTCCTCTTCTCCACGAGCTCCGCGCGGGCCTAGCCATGTTGTCGACTCTGTCCAGGGTCTTGTGTAGGCCCTCGAGCTTATCGATCAGCTGGTTCAACATCTCTTCCCTGGAGAAGGAGAAGAAGGAGGAGGAGTAGGAGGAGAAGGAGAAGGAGCAGGAGGAGGAGAAGGAGGAGGAGGAGGAAGAGGAGGATGAGGTTACGGTTCAGCGCGTTGGAAGCGAGTCCGAACGGCGGCTCTTGTGCAGCCAGCCGGGATCGTACTAGATGCCTCTCCGAACACATGGATGCACGGCCAGGCAGCTCCTTACCCTGGTCTGCCCGGGGCGCCTCGCACGCCGTTCTCCCACCTCACCCCTCCCCCACCTCACCCCTCCCCTAGTAGTAGTAGTAGTAGTAGTAGTAGTAGTAGTAGTAGTAGTAGTAGTAGTAGTAGTAGTAGTAGTAGTAGTAGTAGTCGTAGGTAGTAGTAGTCGTAGTAG